AATAAATAAAATCTTTAAAAAAAAAAAAAAAAAGAAGTTGAACTGTGGACCAGGGTTTACAGTCTACGGGTTGCAGAATGCATTTACAGGGTCTCAGACAGCATTTTTTTTTAAATTGAAGTATAATTGACATATAACGATATTCCTATCAGGTGTATGACATAATAATTCAGTGTTTGTATATATTGTGAAATGGTCACCACGTAAGTCTAGTTAATATCCATCACCACACACAGTTATAGATTTCTGTGTGTGTGATGAGAACTTTTATGATTTCCTCTCTTTTCAAATCTACGGCACAGTATCATTAGCTATAGTCACCCTGCTATCCAGACACCCCCAGGACTTATTTCTCTTACAACAGGAAGCTGTACCTTTTGACCCCCTCTGCACATCTTGCCCTCCGCACCCCCCCTCCCCACCCCCACCCTCCATCACCCCACTTGGTGAAGTGGAATGGATCAGCCTGTACCAAGTGTGATGAGGGCGTTACTGCTTCGTGGACCCAAGGACCCCTAGAGTATCCTTAAACCCTCCGTGTTCACAGAACTCTGGTATTTCATGACCACTTCCCTGTTTTCTCATCGTTTTCAAACTTAACAATAAATCTGTAGTTAATGCATAAAGAACACCTGTAAATCAGAGCCTGGTAGTAAGTCTCTGCACGTTTTGAGGCTCTGCTTTGGCAGTTTTATTTCACTTTTATAGCTAAACTGAAATAAATCCAGTGTAACTTTTCCTGCCTTAGTGGAGGAATGGTTTTTTGTAATTTCATGGCCTTTTCCGCCCCCTACAAAGTTACTGAGAATTTTCTCTTTGTTGCCTATGTATTTTTTACAGTGAACTCATTTTTTTATTATACAAGTAACATATAATGACATTTTCATTATTAAAAACTATTCGTCCGGCCCCTGGGTGGCTCAGTCGGTTAAGCATCTCTTAGTTTCGGCTCAAGGTCATGAGCTCGGGGTCCTGGGATCGAGCCCTGCATCGTGCTCAATGCAGAGTCCCTAGCATCTGACTTTTAATATTAGCAAGTAACATAAAAAACAGATTTTATAATACTTTGGAAAATTCTAGAGTTTCCAAGTTGAATGGACTTCTTTCCGACAGGACCTCTTAAGGCCTATGTTATGTGATTTAGCCTGGTACTAAAAGTGATAGCGATAGCACGAGAAAATAAAACCTCAGATGAACCTAACTTATGAACAGTGGTGTAAGACACCTATAAAAAATACTAGTAAATCAGATTTACTATGCCACCAACTGGCGAGTTTTCCCTAAATGAGATTATGCATGTAACCATACCCAACCCCCTAGTCAGAGATGAAAAGCTTCATCGTCATTTTAGGAGATGTCAAAATGGGACTTAACATAATTCAGCATCCGTTCCTTATTAAAACTCTCAGTAAAGTAGGAATACAAGGATATTTGGATATTAAGCTAATAGATGGCAGTCAATCCCAATCCAAGGACAAAACATCCTATCCAATGGTAGAACATTAAAAGCGCTCCCATTAAGATAGAAAAAGCATAATAATGATCCCTGTCACCATTATAAAAAAAAAGTTGTCCTAGAATTTCTAGCCAACGCAATAATAACTGAAAAATAATCATCATGTAAATGTTATAAAGTACCTGTTATAAAAAATAATAATAGGGAAGAGTTAGGGGCCCATCACAAAATAATTTACAAAAATGTATAGCTTTCTTAATATCAACAGGAGCCAGTTGGAAAATATGATATTTGAAAAGAGCAATCAAAGCACAAGATACAAATAAGCGAATATAAATTTGTTGAAACAATGTGAAGAAAACTGCACATCTTTGCTGAAGAACATAAAATAAGATATGAATAGACAAATACATATACCAAGTCTGTGTATGGGAAGATTCAGTATTACAAGGATGTCTGCTACTTCTCAAATAATTTAAAAGTTAAATGTAAATCTCAATTACCTCCAGTTTGATTTTTGGTTTACTTGTGTCTAATGTCTTTAAGTTCATATCATTTAAGCAGCTGTTAAAGATTTAATAACCTAAATGTCCAGCAATATGGAGTTGGTAAAGTAAATTGCGGCTCATCTAAATGAGAGAAAACTGCATACTTTATTTAAAACCATGTCTTACAAAAACAACGACCCTGAAAACTTCAGATATAATTTTCAGTGAAAATCAGATTCAAAAAGTAGTATAAACAGTGATTGATATGTGTGTATTTGTGTGTATATGTCCATGTGTATGTACACGAATGAGCCAGGTAGATATTTGTTCCCCTGTATATTCCTCTTCATGTATATACTCATTGTCTTTCTTCTCTGTGTCTTTTAGTCTCTATGTCATCTATGTGTGTGTATATGACGTGTATATGTGTGATGGGTAGGGGTACGTGTGTAAACATGACAGATATGTGTACATGTGATGTGTGTTTATGTGAGGACATATGTGAATTATGTACATATGTGTAGTGTGACATGAGGTGTGCATACATATGATCTGTGTACATGACGTGTATCGGTGGCATGTATGACATGTGTCTGACATGTATATATGATGCACGTATGTGTGCGTGTGACGCGTATGTTTGTATACATGTGTGTATATGACATACAGGAATGTGTTTATGATATGTAGTTGTGAATACATACGACGTGTGTATATGTAACACAGAGGGGTATATGTAACATTTATCTCTGGGTAGGAAAATTACGAGTGATTCCTGCTTTCACCTTTACCTTTGCTAAATATTTCATAATAAACATTCTTTTAATAAAAGGACAACGTTACCTTATAAAACAGTTAGCAATAAGAAATAAAATTATGAAAGAACTAAAAAAAAATCACAAGTTCAGATCGATTTTAATATATGTGAAAGACCCTTCTGAACAGAAAAACAAAGGATGGTATCATGGTATCGTCTGGAAAAGGATTATTAAATTTGGCTCCATAAAAACTAAATTTTATATATCACAGAATATTATAAACAAGATTTTCTAATTTAAAAAGAAAGTTAATATCCTTAGTATGTAAGAACTCTTATAAACTGGGCTGGAAATCCGCCATTTGTCTCCCCTGGCCCTTCCCCATTCTATTTTCTCCATGACCTGGGAGGCTGGCTTGGGTGACCTCAGACACTTTCCCTTGCCCTCCCTCCCCCTCCCTCCCTCTCCCCTCCCACTCTGTCCCTCCCTCCCTCCCTGCCTCCCTTTCCCTCCTTCTCTCTCTCTCTCACCCTCTCTCTCACTCTTCTTCTCCTTCCCTCTCTTCTCTCTGGCTCGGTTCTTCCAACCACGGTTTCCAGGGGTGGAAACAGAGCCACCCCAGCCCCACCCAGCCCAACTGCTACCAGCCCAGGGTAAGGCACTCTCTCTTTATAAAGAGTTCCCCTTAAATTAGCCAGGATGTTATATCATCTTTTTGGCCTGCAGGGACACTGACTAATACAGTAATCAAAAATAAAAAGATAACAGCCCAGTAGAAATGTAGGCAAAGGTCAATACCCAATTCACAAAACAAGAGACTCAAATTGCTTAAAAACATGAAAAAAAAAATAGTATCACTAGTAAATATGTATATGCACATATATGCACATATATGAATGAAACCAATATTATCCCATTTTCAGCCTGTCAAATTGAAAAAACAAATTTTCTTTTTAATGTGACCAGTGCTGAGTGGGAGCAAACGTAAACTTTCTCCAACACTGAGAGCTGGAATTGGAATTTCTGGGGAAGCTGATAGTGTATACAAAGAACACCAGATATGTGCCCTGCCCTTTGACCCAGCAAATCCACTACCAAAGAGCTAATCTAAGCTTTTCACGGAGATCTATGTGAAGAATGTCCCGCAAAGCATTATCCATGTGGTTAATTTGTGGAAAGGTTTCCAGAAATTGAATGTTTGCCATCAAATTCTGTTTGAGAAGAATACAAGTGACATTCTCTCATGCCTCTTTTTTTTTTAATTTTTTATTAACGTATAATGTATTATTTGTTTCAGGGGTACAGGTCTGTGTCTCATGCCTCTTTTTAAAACTTCTGCCTACGCTAGCTCCAACATATGTCCCAAACCCGGTCACCTGCCACCGTCTCTGCTGTTGAGAGTCCCGGCCCCAGGCTGGCTCAGTCTCCTCCCTGAACAACTATGTAGCCTGCCCTGCCACAGTGGGGCCAGCCGCAAAAAGCTCTCAGAGCAAAACCACATCATTTCACTCCATGCCCAAAACCCTCCAGGGGCTTCCCCTTGGACGTTAGAATGATATCAAACCGTCCCCTGTGGCTCTGGATCCTCCCTGGAGCTCTGATCCTGACCGGCTCTCCTGCCCCACCTCTACCACCCTCCCGACCCCACTCTACAGAGAAGGAGAAATTGGAGTAAAAACTTGGAGAAGAGCGAATGCATCAGGCAACAGGGAGAGCAAGAGCTTGATGGCGGGAGTGGGGTGCAGAAACCAAGCACGCCTGCTGTTGGCTCGCTCAAATTCCCGTCTACCTTCTGAGAACTGTTTCTTCCATCCTGTGTTCCTCTTAGGAGAACCATATCGGCCTGCCCTACTGTGACTGGCGACAGGAGCCCCACCTAACTAAGCAAGATCATTTCCCAGGACAATTTTTTAAAGATTGATTGATTGATTGATTGATTGATTTAGAGCATGCAAGCGGGGGGTGGGGAGGGGCAAAGGGAGAGGGAGAGAGAGAATCTCAAACGGCCTCCCCACTGAGCAAGGAGCCTGACACAGGGTTCAATCCCAGGACCCTGAGATCATGACCTGAGCTGCAACCAAGGGTCGGCCACTTAACCGACAGAGCCACCCAGGCGCCCCCTCCCAGGACATTTTTATTTCCACTTGCACTGGAGAAAAAGTCTCCTCCCCTTCTGGTTGCAAAGTGATGGCTGTGACCTTTAGCTGCCGACCCCCATTCATTCCAGGTGATTGTTGGACACCCATGTTGATGAGCACCTGCTGCATGCCGGTTTCTGTTCTAGGCACGGGGGTGACAATGGTTTTAACAAGACTGATGAGGTCCCTGTTTCAGGTGAGGATATGGAAATTCAATAAGGAAAAAGTTGGTGATCATTTCTGATGGCCCCGAGTTCTCTGCAGATCATCAGGGTGCTGATAGAAAATGATGAGAAGGGGAAGCTGATGAGAAAGTCTTTCTGAGTGGGCAACGTCTGAATTCTGAATTTAGATCTTGATGAATGAGAAGGGATGAGCCATGCAAATAGCTTAGCAAGAAGTGTCCCAGGCAGGGGTCCTGAGGTGGGGACGAGCTTGCAATCAATGCGCTGGAAGGAGGTGACCGTGGCTAGAGCTCAGGGACAGACAGAGACAATGGCACAAGCTGAGGGCAGAGGGGTAGGTCGTACGCCTTGCATCACGAGGAAGCTGCTATTCGAAACAAGCATGCTCAAGGAGAAGCAGAAACGAGAAGATCCAGAGAGCCCATAGATGCTCAAAACACAGATCCACTCGTCCTTACAGCCAGCTCCCGGCTCAGAAGCAGAAACGAGAAGATCCAGAGAGCCCATAGATGCTCAAAACACAGATCCACTCGTCCTTACAGCCAGCTCCTGGCTCAGAAGCAGAAACAAGAGAAGATCCAGAGAGCCCACAGGTGCTCAAAACACAGATCCACTCGTCCTTACAGCCAGCTCCCGGCTCAGAAGCAGAAACAAGAGAAGATCCAGAGAGCCCACAGGTGCTCAAAACACAGATCCACTCGTCCTTACAGCCAGCTCCCAGCTCAGAAGCAGAAACAAGAGAAGATCCAGAGAGCCTACAGATGCTTAAAACACAGATCCACTCGTCCTTACAGCCAGCTCCCAGCTCAGAAGCAGAAACAAGAGAAGATCCAGAGAGCCCATAGACACTCAAAACACAGATCCACTCGTCCTTATAGCCAGCTCCCGCTCAAAACACAGATCCACTCGTCCTTACAGCCAGCTCCCGGCTCATTGCCCTCAGATACTTGAGCAAAAAAGTCCCCCTTGTACTTGAGCTGGGTCTTCTGTCACTACTACCAGAAAGGCTGTGAGTAATTTACGGAGAGAGACTGAATATAAAAAAGACTGGAAGGAATTACATGGAAATATTAACAGCGACATATCTGGGTTGTAGGATTCCATTTCATCTCTATACGTTTTTATATTTTCTTAATTCAGGACATCGAGCATGCTGAACTTAAACTGGTTTAAAATCATGGGGTTTTGTTTCTGACTCTGCCCCCTCCCCCCGCACATACATTGTCCTCGCATCCCTGCCTCTGATGAGTTTTCATGACCAAATGTGAAAATAGTTTCAGAAGCAAAGAGCATCTTCCCACGTGCTTTCATTAGGTGCAAGAAGTAATCCCCACCCCCCCCTGCCGTTTGTAGATTTCCAGGCCCTCTTGGGCTGGAAATTACTTTGGCATAGGGCCCATAATCTTTGAAATCAAGACTTTTCCCCTACTTCCAAAATCAGCCCCCTAAAACAAGAGCTTTTCAGGCCATAGGCTTCTCACGGATGGTCATGACAAACCTTAAATCAACGTCACACGCATTTAAGACACAGCTTCACTCACAGATGAGTGCATCCCCCTGCTTCCAATTTATAGATGGAAATACAGAGACCTGGAGAGTTGAAGTGACTTGCCAAGGCCGGTCGGCCATATCTTTCTGGTGCAAGTGATGCTTGGAGCAGAGGACGACCCCACATTTAAGCACGGGCAGGGACTGTGCCCGGCTTTCGGTCTGAATTATTTCCTGGCGGAAACTGTCACTTTGCTATCAGGACAGTCAAGTGTAGTTAGAATAAGCTCATGGAACAAAGCAGTTTAATTAAAGAAAAACAAAATTTGTTGGGTTACAGGGCTAGTCTCTTCAATCCAAGATGGGAAATTAATTTATAATAACGTTATCTTTTATTCATAGCATGCTGCCTATTTCAGAGTATATTCGCATCCTTCTATTTTTCTGTTGAATGTGAAATAATTGTGTGTTTCTAATGGGCTGTGAGTGGCCTTAAAGAACTGAACAAACAGAGCTGAATCTCGGTTAGCCATTCGGGGCGGTGGGGGGGAGTCTGAAGCCACTGGGGAGTAGCTTTGGTTTCCTTCGGATGAGTCATGACATTTAAACTTCCGAGGGCTCCGCAAGCTTCAAAGCAGCCCTTTCAGAATGATCGCCCTGGAGCCCAAGTCCACGAGCAGCCGAGGACAAAGAAAGCCCGTCCGCTTTTCCCTAACCACCTCGTGCTCTCTCTCCGCAGACCAACCTGACCGAGCTGAAGTCGTTTGGGGCCCCGCCTCCAGCTGTCAGCAACGTCAGCGCGGCGGTGATGACCCTCACAGCCCCCGGGGGCCGGGTGCCCAAGGACCGGAGCTGGAAGGCCGCCAAGGTCACCATGGCCAAAGTGGACGGTTTCCTGGACTCCCTCATCAACTTCGACAAGGAGAACATTCCCGAGAGCTGCCTCAAGGCCATCAGGCCATACCTGCAGAATCCAGAGTTCCGCCCCGAGTTCGTGGCCACCAAGTCGTACGCGGCCGCAGGTCTCTGCTCCTGGGTCATCAACATCGTGCGGTTCTACGAGGTCTTCTGCGACGTGGAGCCCAAGCGCCAGGCATTGAGCAGGGCCACCGCAGACCTCACCGCCGCCCAGGAGAACCTGGCAGCCATAAAAGCCAAAATCGCTGTAAGTGAGGCCGGAGCCCCCCTAGCCACCCCAGCCCGCGGGGCAGCCTCTGGTGCCAACCACATGTGTCCCCATGTCCCAGCACCCAAGTGTCCCGATTTTGAAAAAGAGGCAGGGAAACCAAAGTGGGATGCCAAAGCTCCTGACTTTTCAATTGAGGCACCTCTTGCTCTTTCTCAAATACTCTACAGTCCACGTGAGACAAATCCAGCAGACCGTTGGTCTTATGTGATCTGCGCTGTTCTATGGAAGCTTTTAGAAGCAAGTAGTACATTGTGGTTTGGGGGGCGGTCCCTTGACCATAAATGTAAAATGGCGAGGGTCACTAGCTTTTATTAACCCCTTGGTGATGTTTGGAGTAGATCTGCCTCTCTCCAGACTGGGGGGCGGGGCGATTGTGGATTTACACCTGTTTGAGAGAGATTCCCCCTTGAACTTCACCTTTGCCCTTAAAATGGATACAACCAAAGCTAGAAATCTGAATCCCTCAGGACAGGAGAGCAGCTGAAAATCCAGTCCGAGCTGTACCATTTACAGATGTATGACCTTTAGAAAGGTCTTTAAAATGCCCACACTTCGGTTTCCTGAAGTAAAATGGACACAGTAACCTCTCTCTTATTGAGATCATAGTGACAAGGAGAAGACGAGGGCACACAGAGCCACGTGGGGCTGAGGCCACTGCCACGGTCACCACGACCATCGCTTCCCTACCTCTGCTCTCCCTCCTTCTCCCAAGACACGTGCTAGCTCTGGTGATCGGTCACTCCTGTGATCAGGTGCAGTCCAGAACACTTCCTGGATCTTTCCTTTCTGCACACGCATTCCAGGCAAGCAAGAGCCTTGCAGCAGAGCGGTCGTGATGGTAAAAAGGGCTTTACAGATGGTGAGAAGTAAGCTCCATATGACCCGGGTGTATTGACTGCTAGATTAAATTCTGTGGCTGGGGGCGCTAATTCAAAGAACCTTGCCACCGATCTCTCTCTCTCAAGAAAAGAAACTTGGGCAAAGCAGCTAATCTCTCAGTATGTTGGCTTTATAAATCCAGATGTTCAGGGGCCAGTCTACTTAAAACAGGTGATAATCACCTTAACAATGGCCCTCTAAAAAGAACACCCAGGGCAGAACACCCGAACACCCCTGTGGCTGATTTTGAAGGGCAAAAGCCTCCTGATAATTTTTGTATTCCGCAGTCTCTCCCAGAAAAATGTTTTAAGAACTGCATTTTCAAAGATTTTTTTTTATACTCAAGTTATTTTAACTAAAGGAACATTTGGTGCAAAGGGAATGTTTTCAAAATGTTTATACCTATTCACTAGCCAACATTCACATGATGGGCCCACTCAACCTGTGAAAGCAATAAGCATATCTTTCAAAGACTTGGCTACCTTAGGAAGACACTTCTTTTCTGCCAAAATATTTTTTTTTAAATGTATTCTTGCTTTTAACAGCCTCCTCTCCATCCTTTGCTCATCCACATGCCTATCAGCATCCCAAGAGTTTGGACACTCCCCCCACTAACAACAGAGGCCTGATACCCACCCCTAACTTGAGGCCCACCCCAGGCAAGGAAATTTTTCCCTCTGTGACCCTGAGGACATTGCCAGCCTCCTCCGGTCCCCAAGCCTTATTTTTAGGATTTTAGGATAATTCCAAGTAAAGAATATTATATCCAAGATAAAGTTTCTTTTTTTAAGAAGCATATATCCAGACAGATTATCAAATACATAAAAACATGGATAGTGGCACTTTTATCTAGGTGTTATATTTTGGATGGGTTTTGCATATTAGGTATTTTCCTTTTTTCTATAATGAGCATATATTAATGTAACAATTTATAAAAAGAATGGCAATAAAAACAAGTAAGGCATGTTCACGGAGCACATACTGACAAGTAAGCAAAATATCAGCAAAAGGCATCTAATGAGAAACCACAGTCTTCCGCCCTTTGCGTGCTTGTGTCTGCCTCAGAGGACTGGTCGAGCTACTCAGAGCCTTCATACTCGTAGCTTCTACGCGTTTCCTTTGGCCCACACTCACCCAGTTTTTGTCAACGATTTCGTTAACCGCCAGTATTTAAATCAACAGGAGATTTTCGTAAAAATCTGATTTCTGGCCGGTCCTAAGGTCTTCAGATTCCCCAATATCATGAACCAATCCTAGAGTTGAGTAGCCCCTTCCCATCCAACCCAGGTCTGTCCCAGGTTCCCACCGATGCCTATGTTTTTCAATGCCAGACTCCCCTGACCAGCTTCCATCGTCTTCCTGGCCCCGGCTCGTCTGAATGTCGAGCTCCCGTCTCTACACTGTGCCGGCATCCCTGTTTCTTGATATACTTTAGGCAGGCAGGGTGGCACTCTGCCAGACGAGGCTCTAAGATGTTTATCCATGTGTCTTCTCGATACCATCATGACAACTAGTTTTAGTTGACCTAACCTGTATTTCTTGTCCTGGCATATAGAGGCGGCTTCCTTGGAACCTTCTGTTTTCAAGATAAAATTATTACCCGTTCCTTCAGCTCTTCCCCCAACCTCCCACCTCCCACCTCCCACCTTCTCTTACCATTACTGATTGTTACTTTTGCTTTTGAGTCACCAAGACGCAAAATATCTCCGTTCTGTTCTGCAACCAAAGTTAAGTGTCCCGTGCTCTGTTCACTGACTGACTGGGAAAGCTGAAAAATCAGTTAATTCCCTTTGCATTCTATGAACCTTCCTGTGTTGTTCATAGCAGATCTAACTGGTCCATTAGAATTATGTTTCCTTTTTTTATAGAAATTATTTATTATTTATTAGTAACAATCCACAAAATGCTATTTGGGCTAATAAATTCTGAAAACGTGAAGGATATACAATAAACATGCAAAAATCACTATTTCTATACGTAAGCATTGAACAATCCAAAAAGGAGATTAAGAAAATAATTCTTTTTATTCTTGGATAGTTGACACACAATGTTGTATGAGTTTCAGGTGTACAACATAGTGATGTGACAGGTTTCTATGTTCTGCTCTGCTCACCACAAGCGTAGCTTCCACCTGTCACCACATAGCACTACCACAATATCATTGACTGTATATTCCCTATGCTGTGCCTTTCATCCCCATGATTTATTCATTCTGTAACTGGAAGCCTGGACCTCCCACTCCCCTTCACCCACTTTGCCCACCCTCACTTCCTCCTCCCCTCTGGCCACCATCAGTTTATTCTCTATAGGTCTGATTCTGCTTCTTGTTTAAAACAATTCTATTTTTAATTCATTTCCGTTTTTTTTTCATTTCCTTTTTTTTATATAATTTTCCCCCTCCCCCTGGAGTTTCCACTTGCCTTTGTGTTTTCTTTCTCTGCCATTAGATCCTTTTGCATGGCCTCAATTACCCTTCAACTCTCCATGCAATCCAGTATCCTACCACTTCCATTTTTGCCCTCAAGACCTTTCACTCTTGGGGCGCCTGGGTGGCTCAGTCGTTAAGCGTCTGCCTTTGGCTCAGGTCATGATCCCGGGTTCCTGGGATCGAGCCCCGCATCGGGCTCCCTGCTCCGTGGAGAGTCTCTTCTCCCTCTCCCACTCCCCCTGTTTGTGTTCCCTCTCTCGCTGTGTCTCTCTCTGTCAAATAAATAAATCTTTAAAAAGAAAAAAAAAAGAAAAAGACCTTTCACTCTTGTCCCAGACTCAGAGTTCCAATCAGTGTTGGAGAGGAAACACATTCACTGCTTTCTTGGGTTGGTTCCAGTGACTTCTGGAGCTCTTGACTTCTCTTTCCTTGATTTTTTCTCTTGCTTGCTGGCGCTCACTCTTAAGTAACTTTCTCAGAAATGTTAAGTAAGAGGTAAATTTTCTGAATGGTTCTGGTCTGGAAATACCTTTATTTGACTTTTAAACTGACCAGGCAGTTTTGCTGAGTACTGAATTCTGATGCTAGTTTTTTTTATCCCCCTTAGAACACTGAATGCCTTACCCTTTTCTTTAGTGAGAAGTTGGATGAGCAGTCAGGGTCCCATTCCTTTGTCAATGCACTGTTTCCACCTTTCTGAAAGTCTTTACATTTTTTTTCTTTATTTTTTTTCTTGAGAGAGCACGAGTGGAGGAAGGGGCAGAGGGAGAGAGAGAAAGAGAATCCCAGGCTCCATGCCCAGTGCAAAGCCCACATGGAGTTCGATCTTATGACCATGAAATCATGACCTGAACCAATATCAAGAGTCAGATGCTTAACCAATCAAGCTACCCAGGCACCCCTTTTTCTTTATTCTTGGTTTCTGAAACTTTGCACTGGTGTGCTTAGCTGCCATTTTTTAGATTCATTGTACTCAGCATGTGGAGACTTCTTTTCTTTGACTCTGGAAAATTATTTTGTATTATTTCTTTGGTAATCTCCCTTCCGTTTACTTTTTTATCTTACTTTCTAGAATGCATGTTTGTTGGATGTTGGACCTTCTGATGAGTCCTTTGTTTCCTCAGTCACTTTATATTTTCTTATACTTTCTAGATTTCCTCAAATTCATCTTTTAACCCTTCCCTTGAATTTATTATTTTTTTACATTAACAAGAAAATAATGTCTGCAACAGTTTTTTTTCCCTCTGCTCCTTTTGCTAGCATTCTCTTCTTGTTTTATGGATGAAACATCTTGAATTTTCCTAGGAAACTATTCATAAAGGATTTTATGCTTTACTGTGCTCTTGTGACGAAAGTTATCTCTTTTCTCAGGTGTTTTTTTCCCCTCTTGTTTACCTTAATCTAGGCTTCATTAAACTGATAAGAACAGATACTACACTTGATCTTAGCCAAAAGGCCAAGAAGCGATAATCTAGGCTTCATTAAATGGCTTCTTGTCCTTTCATGTTTAAAAGAGTAGTGTTCAAAAGCTGATTATAGCTCTGCAAGCAAGGGCAGAGCTGACTGAGAGGCAGAATTTGTTTTCAGGATCAGTTGAGTTATGTCGGATGCATCCTCGATGCCAGAATGTGATGTCTTCTCTCTGCCACTATTGAATCTCCTGCTGGTGACACGAACGCCTGGTGACATTGGATGCTGAGCCTGTGGGTAGAGATGGGGGTAGAGGATCAGTCAGCTTCCAATGAACCCTCTTACTTTCAGAAACCCCCCTCCATCCCACCTGACATTTCCAAATCCCCATTGCATGCCCCCTTTGGTGAATTGAGGCCCGCACTGTGTTGCAGCTTCCTGTGCCCTCCTCTGGCAGTTTCCATTCCTCTGTGAGTCCAGTCTAATATAAATCGATTGGAAACCCTCACTCTCCAGTGACCCTCAACAGTTGCTCAGTGTTAAGGATTTATGATGTTTTTAAAATTATTTTAGAGAAGTCTTGGGAAGAAGAGGAAGTAAATGAGTGTGGCCAGTCTGCCATTGTCAATCGATGGCTCACCAGCTGCTTTTCAAACTGCTTGGCTGTATAAACTTGGCCCTTGATTTGTTTCTCTTGGGACATGGTAATGGCCAGCAAAGCAGCCCAAATCCCAGTTACTGCATAGACGTGAGACATATTTAGAGGTATCTACCATGTGTCCCTACATCTTCGTGTATGCAAATATGTATTCTGAGGGCAACACAAGCTACGTACTTCAATTCTAAACTCTTGATGAATTTAGAAAACATCGAAACCATGTCCTCTTACAAAATTCTCCTCTACTTCAGGATAATTGGACAGAATAGGTGAGGTTAAGCAAAAGTTACCTGTCCTCCTAGGACCTGAAACCAAGGAGAGGACTTAGGCTACACACGGCCCAATCCCAAACCCGAGACCTCCAGTGGGAGACACAGCATGCATCCTTCCCAGGACCCCTGGCATCCTAATGATCATTTTCAGGCCACCCCAGGCTTTGGTGCACTTTTGCTTTTAATAGCGCACTGGTGGTTTTTTTGGCAGGCTTCTACAACCCTTTTTTCTCCACTACAAGGAGAGACAGAATTTATGCTCCCCCCCACCCCCATGTCCATCACCCCTCTTAGCCCCACACCAAGGACTGAGGTAGGAAAAAGCTCAGCCCTCTCACTTGGGTCAGGACCGACCTGGGCTTCCCCCAGGCCTCCACCTGAGATCACCCCTAATTTGCTTACCTTTCCTTCTTTGCCCTGCCTTCTCCAGTCCCTTACAGCTCTCCTGTCCTGGGGGGGTGCCTCCCTTAAAAACCACCTACACGTGACTCTATCTCGGCCCCACTGGAGGTGATGACTTAGGCTGGAATTACTGATAGACCTTGTGTTCCTTCCTAAACAGCACCTTAATGAAAACCTGGCCAAACTCACAGCCAAGTTTGAGAAAGCAACAGCAGATAAACTCAAATGTCAGCAAGAAGCTGAAGTGACCACAGGCACCATCTCCCTTGCAAATCGCCTGGTGAGTGTGAGCCTCAGCAGCCTGAGCCGTAATTGAATTAGCTGAGCTTGTCAAGTGCCTCCGAGGTACAGAATAGATGAGCACAGCTTAGCGCCACTTTGACTTGGGGGGAAATATTAAAATGTAATAGGATGTGTGCGGGGGGCGGGGAGCAGATATTAAAATGCGCTGGGTTGCAGGGACTGAGTCCTGAGAAGTGTGAATGCACACCCTGGTCTGGTCAAGAGAGTTTTCCTACAGAGACGTTTGGGAGGATGGGAGCCCTTGATCTATCAGACAGCGGGGTGAGATGCAAGATGCTTACGTGCATATATGCGCCTCGGCCAGAGGAAGCCTTACAAGACAAAGCTAGCCACTCGGTAGGAAAGCTCTGCAGCTCTTAACTGTGTAATGTTTGATGATAAAGGCGTGACCAGGATTAGGGACTGAGACAGAAGCAGAGAAGAATGACACCTCTTGACCCTGAGCATCTGTGAGCGTGACCTTGCCCATACGCGTGGGTGCACTCACGTGTGTGCACAAACATACACATACACACGCAGGCTGGCCTCCCTAAGAGAGGAAATCTGAGGGTCACAGCAGGGTGTTTGTCTGATGGCTGTCTGCTAACAAACTACCCTGGAACTTAGTGATATAACACAACCACTATTTCGTTGTCTCTTACAAGTTTGTGGGTCAGGAATTTGGGCAGGTTTCAAATGGTAGGTTCTCAGCTCTAGGTGGTGCCTACTGGGGCCACCGAGTGGCCGGCTGGTTTGTCCCACGCACCTCGGCAGGAGCTACTAGAAGGGCAGAGCTTCCCCCATGTAGTCTCAGGCCTCTGTACTTAGACATTTTACATGGGGACTCAGGGCTCCAAGCACAAGGGTTCTAAGAAGAAGTAGAAGTTTCCAGTCTCTTAAGGCCTGGGACCAAAAGCCAAACACAGTATCCCTTCTACCTCATACTATTGGCCAAAGCAGTCGCAAGTTCAGGGAGGAGGAGCATAGGCAGCAACTCTTTTTTAATTTTATTTAATTATTTTAGAAAGAGAACGAGAGCACAGGAAGAGAGGAAGAGGGGGGAGGGAGAAAATCCCAGGCAGACTCCCCACTGAGCATGGAGTCTGACTCAGGGCTTGATCCGACAACCCTGAGATCATGACCTGAGCCAAAACCAAGAGTGGGATGCTTAACCGAATGAACCACCCCGGCACCCCAGGTGCCAATTCTTGTTGAAGGGAGTGTCAAAGAATTCATAGCCTTTTTGAATGTGAAAGTGGCTTGTATTTCTTGTCCTAAATCAGCTAAGATCCTGCAAAGCAGTGTCCGCTGGGCATGATTTCTCTTCCACAGAGAGCCTTTACAGCACTTTTGTCTCCAATGATGGGAGGTGGAGTCGATATCTTTTTACTTTTATTCCAGCCACTATGTGTTTCTAAAATGAAGCCAGCTTTTTCTCGTTGAAGGAGAAAGGAGTCACAATAATGATGGAACTGAGCCGTGCTTTGGTGAAGAAAGGCTCTTCCACAGGAGTGTGTCTGTGTACTTGTTGGTTGGACCTGCTCTTGCATTGCGTTGAGATGATCATTTGAACTGAACAATTCGGTCTAGAGACAGCTCTTCTGCAAAGAGGCAAGAAGCATTCCAGACCTCTTAGCTGGCCTGTCTTCCATCCCGTTTTCTGTTTGGTTTGCAGACCTTAGCAGAGCCTTCTTTGCCTGGGTGAAGCATTTTCTGAATTGGTCCCCTTGGAAGGCAGGCAGGGTGTACAGGCTCTGAATCCAACCCTGTCTCTACCCACCTAGAGGTCCTGGCGCGATACTTCAACATTCTGGTCTTTATCTGTTGTCATCTAAAAACAGGCATGGGAATGGCTGGGTTGGCCCATCCAGCTGTGACATTCTACGATGCCATCTTTCAAGGAAGGACGAGGGGTCCGTCATAACACAGACTCAGCTCTGCCATATCCAAAGAAAGGAGGCCTCTCCTCCCCGGAGGGGGGTCCCCACGGAGAGGTGTGCCATACCAAAGTGGGGCAGACACAATCAGGACGTGTTCCACCATCTTGGTACTTTGTGCACGCGCATGTTCCCGTACCTCTAACTCTGTGTCTTAATTACCGTGTCTATCTGCCCACCCACTGTGAATTATTTATAGCGCCTGGAAGTGATTTTATTTATTTTCCGATTCCCAGCCCTTGGCGAGGAGGAGGGGGAGAACACATAATAGGTTCTGCAGCCCAGGCACTGTGCTAGGTGGTGAACGTACATGATCACATTTAATTTTCTCCCCAGCCCTTGGAGGTGGGTGGTATTTGTCTTCATGCCTGTAAAGGGCAGAGCCCAGAAGCCTGCGCTCAAAGCCTATAATCCATCTGCAGCCCACATGATGCACAGCACAGAATAGGTGTGTTTTCTGAGCGTGTGCTGTGACCAGTACAAGTCCCCAGTGATCACAAGGCCACAGAAGTGATGTCCCGAGTCTTCTGGTATCAGACGTGCACTGTGCATTCTCTGTGACGGAGTCCGTGGCGCTCCGTAGAGCCTGTGGGGTGATGAGCCGTCTCTCCTCTCTGGTCTCTGCCCTCGTAGGTGGGTGGACTTGCCTCTGAGAACGTGAGGTGGGCAGAAGCCGTGCAGAGCTTCCGACACCAGGAGAGCAAGTTATGTGGGGACGTTTTACTCACCACAGCTTTCGTGTCCTACCTCGGCTTCTTTACGAAGAGCTACCGGCAGAGCCTTATGGACGGGACCTGGAGACCCTACCTGAGCCGGCTGGAAGTACGTACAGCCTGAATTTCTCCTGACCTCACCAGCCTGTGGCTGCCAGTGAGCTCACGGGACACTAACCATCCACATCTTCTCGTTCCTTCTTGCCTACTTCCCCCCACCACTCCCACCTGAGCATTCACCTGCATGTGACTTTGGCACCTATGTCCTTCCTTCTGCTCACCCACGTTCCCATCCACTGCCCTCTGGGCCACCTGAGGACAGCATCTCTCCTCTCCATTGGGCTCTCCAGGGACACTCTGATCCACTGCCCACCAGGCTGCTTCGAACTATAAAACTCAAGAGACATCCAAAGCACCCTGTGTGTTCCCTCCAGTCTCCCTGCTCTGGAGCCAAACTTCAGAGCCGTGGTAGGGCCAAGATCCTGCATTGCCCCTGGTCATGGGAACCCAGACACCCTTATGCAAACAGCCCTGCCTACTTCGGTCGTGTGTCCTCAGTTTGTCCTCCTAGTGTAAGTGGGTGGATTTTGCTCCCCACCCCTCCATTTCTACTGAGACGATTTGAGGGGGCATGCTGGTCCCTGGCTGAAAGGGGTTCAGGGCTGGAGCCTGTAGTCAGAGTAATTCCTAACCTTGTCCACTTTCCCATCACTCGTCATCCTCGATCCACAAATGTCCACTGAGGGTTCCGCATGTCCTCCCTCTCCACCAGACAGGAGGACAAAAGCCATTCAAAGACCCAGATGCCCACAGGAAGGTCACCGTCCAGTAGAGGAGGTTAGGTTCACAGAAAGCGGCTGCAGTAAGAGTCAGCCCAAAAGTTCACTATGTACAGAAGATTTGTATTCCAGAATGTGTGCATAGGCAGATCCTCAGAACATAAAACCCTTATTGTCTGGTGACGGTTGGTTCCATAGATCAGCTCCCAAAATCTTATTCACTTGATGATTTGTTAAATAGTGATATAAAAACTGTTATGGAAATGCATACATACATACATGCCCTTACGGCACTAGGAAAGAAACAAAAATAAAGCTGCTATTTATTTATCTTGGACACCATGGGAAAGGAAATTATTAAAAGGACAATTATTAACTGAGTGCACAAAAGTGAGGAGCTCAAGGGCAGCTTAGTGGGGATTTTTCTGGCTTTTGGGGGGCTTCCTAAGCATTTTGGGGCCGTGACCCCTTTGGCGCTCTGGTGAGACCTCTGGATTTCTTCTCACAGGAATGTTTTTAGTGCATAAAATGGACTTGAAATACATTCCTGATCCCAGGATAAGAACCTCCAGAGGCAGATCTTGCTTTCAAGGTTTCTTTGATGGCAGAGTGCTGGCCATCGGTCGCCCTAGTGAGTGAGATTAAGGGAAAGGGGATGGATTGGACAGGCTTTCCTGAGGTGACAGGGAAGACAAACCACAGAGGAGAGAGGGACAGAGAGGTTAAAGGGTCATGTGTGTGTGTGTGAACCTCGAAAACATTTTACTAAGAGAAAGCAGCCAGACACAGAAAGTTACCTGCTGTATGACTCCATTTATGTGAACTATCCAGAAGAGGTAAATAGAAAGTAGATTAGTGGTTGCTGGGAGCTGGGGTAGAGGGGAATGAGGAGGGCCTGCCAAAGGGTATGGGGTTCTTTTAGGGCTGAGGACACTGTTTTGGAATCAGATAGAGCTGATGGTCGCACAACATTGTGAAGGACCAAATGCCATTGAATCATGCACTCTAAAATGGTTCATTTAAGTGACATGAATTTTACCCCAATTAAAAAAAATGTATGCGTGTCCCCAGTGGAAAATATTAGCTGTAGAAGAATTGAACGAGCTGAGAGAGGTCAACAGAAAAAGAAAAGGAGGGATCTGGGGCACACACGGGGGCCACAGAGGGAACCAGGTCCCAGGGAGGCATCCTCAGGCCCGGAGGTGTGCTGGTGGGCTTCCCAGCATGCACCAACAAGCGAGTCTGCAGGGAGAGGTCATGCAGGCGACCCCGGAAGTGGGGGGTGTTCTGGACTGGGAGAAAGGGGAGCATCTCCGGTTCTTTGCAAGCTGGGCCTCTGTCAGCAGGTGGTGAGTGCCGTGCATGACGGAAAGGGTGATGTGGGCTGGCACAAGAGGGGGTAAGCCCAGCAGGCCTGGGACCTGCTCCGGAAAGCGTGCACGGGAATCAGAACACAGGGGGAAAGGGACCCTATTAACACGAGTGAGGGCAGGGAGGAGACTGTTGATAATACACACATAATCTATGGTAGAAATTCAATTTAGGCGAGTATACCCAAGAACAAACGGTCACAGAGGCCGGATCTCTGCTGTTATTCCTCGATCGAGAGAAAAAAAGGCTCTCAGGACTTGAAGAAAACCTGCTTCTGGAAATAATCACGAAGCCAGAAGAGCACTCTTCTGGGGGGGATTTTGATCGTGCTTTTGAAGGAGTTGTGCCGACTTCGGGAGCTCCTGGGCGTCCCCCCTGTCCCCCCAGCTGAGGAAGCCCACTTCTGCTCTGAGCATGTGTCCTGCTTCTGCCTCATCAGGTCCCCATCCCCGTCACCCCCACCCTGGATCCCCTGAGGATGCTGACGGATGATGCCTACGTGGCAGCCTGGCAGAACCAGGGCCTCCCCGCGGACCGCATGTCCACGGAGAATGCCACCATCCTCCTCAGCTGTGAGCGCTGGCCCCTCATGGTTGACCCACAGCTACAAGGCATCAAGTGGATCAAGAACAAATATGGCGAGAACCTCCGGGTCACCCAGATCGGCCAGAAGGGGTAGGTGGCTAAACACATCGCTTCTCCCTTTTTGTTGTTTGTGCAGAGGGGACAAAAAAGTGTCATGAGGGGATCTGAAGCCCCAGTGGGTTGTTTCTACCCTCCTGCTTCCTCCACGAGGTTTCTCCTGTTTCTCTTCCCATTTTAGGAAACCTCCCAATGAAAGATGCGTGGGTACCAAGTCTCTGCTTTTCTTTGTCATGAGAAATTGTGTGTGTGCGTGTACGCGAGTGTGTGTGTGTGTGTGTGTGTGTGTGTGTGTGAGAGAGTGTACGTGAGCCACCCGACCCATCAGGAGTCCTGTCTCCACCGTCCAGCATCCCCCTCCCTTCTCTCCTTGGACACGTCTTCCTTGGTCAGGCGCAATTCTGGGTTTCACAAAGTCTCCCTCACGTTTAGCCAAACTGTGCCTGTCTCAGCCCATCCTAGAGCCCACTTCTCTGCCCAGTGTTCCCACCTCCGGCGCAGAGCCCCATAGCACAAACCTAAACATTGTCTCTCCCGGGGAACGATGGGACATTGCGGTTGGATGCATAGCACCCAAATCAGTTGTGAACCTTCGAGAAGCCCTGGTACCTGCCATGTCCTCACACGTACCCGATGGGGGACTTACTACCCAAAGGGACATGAATGATGCGGAGAATGTCTATCCAGCACCTGCCCCAGGCCTCCGCACCTCCCACCTCATGGCTTCATTAACTGTGTTAGAACCTAGCTTTGTAGTTTCAGTTCTCAGTTCTTGTTCTGTGCCATCAGGATACATGAGCGGGATAGGACGGGGCAGTGGGGGTAAAGGGGGGGGACAGAAATCATTTATGAGGCGGTTGGGTATGTGCCAGCCCTCGTGTTAGGGACCTCATCTCAAATGCTTTCCTTAATCCACACAGCTGATAAGTTTAGCGTTACTAGTACCATTTCTGGGGAAATAGAGGTTCACAGAAGCAAATTAATGTCTACAAGAGTATACCATATTAATTTTTTAAAGATTTTATTTATTTATTTTGAGAGCGAGAGAGAGAGCCTGAGCGGGGGGAGGAGCAGAGGGAGGGGACAAGCTGACTCCTCACTGAGCAGGGAGCCCGACGCGGGGCTTGATCCCACGACCCTGAGATCATGACCTGAACGGAAACCAAGAGTCAGGCGCTCAACCAACTGAGCCACCCAAGTGCCCCAAGAGTATACCATTTTAAAAGCAATGTTCATAGCAGCATTATGCACAATATTCAAAATGTGGAAGCAACCCAAGTATCCATCGACAGATGAATGGATGAACAAAATGCGTTGTATCCATACAATGAAATATTATTCAGCCTCAAATAAGAGTGAAATTCTGACACACGCTATAACATGGATGAACCCTGACGACATTGTGCTGAGTGAAATAAGCCAGTCACAAAAGGACAAATACTGTATGGTTCTACTTATATGAGGTTCCTAGAGTTGTCAAATCCACAGAGACAGAAAGCAGAACGGTGTTCCCAGGGGGCTGAGAGGACGGGTATGGAGAGTCATTAGTTAACGGGTACAGAGTTTCAGTTTTGCAAGATGGAAAACTTCTGGAGACGGATGGTGGTGACAACAGTGTGAATGTGCTTGGTGCCCCTGAGCTGTACAGTTAGAAGCAGCGAAGATGGCAGGTTGTGTGTTATGTACATTTCACCGCAATTGTAAATTAATTTATTAAGTATTTTTTTAAACCGATGGAGGCAGTGTTTGAAGCAGATGGTCCTCAGCTAGAAACCCAAGGTTTATCCTCTCCAACACACAGCCGCCAAGGTGAGGCTTACTGCTGTGGTCATCCGTCCCGAACGTGGCTGCCCAGAGGTCCAGATCAGCCAGCATTGTTTAAATCAAACACGCAATGTTACAAAAATAGTTAAAGCAAATATAAACTACCAGAATGGATCCCTTCTTCTAGAAAGGATAAGAGGAGAAATGAATCCCAAGGTCCACCAGGGTATATGTTTATCTGTGTCATGGACCAGATAATCTCATCCTAGCCTGTTCCCCACACTTTGATCAAAACATTCCTTTCTAGGGGCAGCCGGGTGGCTCAGTTGGTTGAGCCTCCGACTCTTGGTTTTGGCTCAGGTCATTTGGCTCAGGGGAGATGAACCATTAGAGACTGTGGACTATGGGAAACAAACTGAGGGTTTCAGAGGAGAGAGGGGTGGGGGGATGGGTGAGCCTGGTGATGGTGTTAAGGAGGGCACGTATTGAATGGAGCACTGGGTGTTATATGCAAACAATGAATCATGGAACACTACATCAAAAACTAATGATGTACTGTATGGTGACTAACATAACATAATAAA